TTGTCCATCAGTCCGATAACAACTAACCTGTGATTTTTATAATCAATCAACGGATCATAATTGAATGCAGCTCTTAAAGCAGCCTGACGCTCTGTCTGTTCAAGACGTCTTTGCTGACGTTGAGAAGGTGTCTCAGATGCTCTAAAAGCAGCCTGACGCTCTGCTTGTTCTTGCCTTCTCAGTTCAGCATCTTCTAAAGATTCTAGCGATCGAGCTAATCTTTTCGCTTGTCTTAGAGAAGATACTCTTGAAAGGCTGAACTTACGTTTGCGAGACATTATGAAGTAACAAAAAACCTATTTATAAAAAAACGTTAAAATACCTAAAAGGAATTAAATTTCCTTTTAAATATTTTTTTAAAAGCAAATCCAAAATATCTAAAAGGAATAAATATACCTTTTAAATATTTTTTAAAATCAAAACAACAAAACCAATTCAAGACACAACTCGAATCCGAAAACGATAGCCAAAAAAATCGAATCAACTTAAACCAAATCACAAAACAAATTGCAGAAAACCGAAATCGAAAGCAGTAGTCAATATAAATATAACCAACGAAAAAAGAAGTAAGTGTATAGGTACCGTATACCTATATCTATACTATTAATATTCCTTTGAAATATTGTTCAACAACCTAAACAACGAAAACCAATTCACGATTCTAAATAAACATTATCCAAAATCAAAGCCAGTCTAAATATGTATAAAGGAATACCAACCAAATCAACAAAACCGATCCAAGACAATACACAAATCCGAAAATGAAAGCCAATATAAATCCATTCAACCTTAACCAAATCACAAAGCAAATAACAAACAACCGAAATCGAAAGCAGGTAGTCGAATAAGCTACGAAATAGAAACTATTTAAGCGTATAGGTACCGTATGCACTATAAGTTGACGCGGCTCAACGGCGGGAGTTGAGTACATGTCAGGAAACATTTCGTTACCGCGTTTTAAAAACCTAGTAACGACATCTAGCGTAATCAATTGAAACTATGTATACGTTAGTTAATAAGAACTCAAAAAATATTTTTCTTATAATTTTGCACAATTTTTCTTATTGTAATACCGATTCATTCATAACCACATATAAGAACTGTATTCATTTCCGTTCAATAAATATTACTAAGGCTTATTAATAAGGCTAAGAACTGTTTCTACCACAGTTAAGTAATAGTTAAGGGTGAAAGCGTGACAGGTGGTGATAGTATTTCTGATCCATACTTATAATCACGCCTGTAACCCTTGTGGGGTAAGCAGAGCATCAACGGATTACTTAATATCGTCTGCGAGGTTATCGCCTATTCTGTGAATTACAATGCACCAAAACGTTTGAAGAAAATCAGCTGGTGAATTTTATGTTTTTTAGATCCATACATTTATTATCTTAATTTTGGTAAAAAGACATAATAATCCAGATATTCTAACCTTCTGTGTTCGTCCATCGTACCGTCGTCCGTCTTGTAGAATCACGGTGGCGCCACCTAGCTAAATTTAGTTTTACAACATATTCGACTTTCCCACGGAAATTATATGTTTTTCCGCTGAAAAAAGTAGCCTATGTCACTCTACAGCCACCGAACTATCCCCATACAAAAATCATGCAATGCCGACGCTCTGTTGCGACGTGAAAGAAGGACAAACAAACAAACAAACACACTTTCGCATTATATTAGTATGGATTACCAGTGTATGTCAAACACACTTTCGCATTTATAATATTATAATATGGATAAGCAATTTATATAATGAAGCAGAAGATGTTTTTTGTTTAAACACGCTAATCTCTGGAGTCTGTTGTTGATCATCGCGGGGCAAAAATGATCGCTCGGAAGAAGAAGTTTCACGCATCGATTTTCTTCGAATAATTCTTCATTTTGTAAATTAAAATAAATAAAATTATCAAATAATGTTTTAGCAGTACGATAGCCTAATAGTAAGACATAATTTTCAGATAACATCATCAGAAGAAGAATGGTTAAAAGTAGCACAAGATTTTGAAAACCAGTGGCATTTTGCTCATTATGTGGGGCCCTCGATGGCAAACATATTATTCTTCAATCACCAATTAATAGTCACGGAGAATACATAAATTATAAAAATTTTCCCAGCATCGTATTGCTTGGCTTGGTGGATGCTAATTATAATTTTATGTATGTAGACGTTGGATGTCAAGGACGCATATCCGATGGTGGAGTCTTTAAAAACAGTGCATTGTACAAATCATTGGAAAATAATGAATTAAAGTTACCAGCACCCTGTATATTACAGACACCATATTCGATTAAAGTGCCCTATGTTCTATTAGCTGACAAGGCATTTGCTTTAAACAATTATACTACGAAACCGTTTGAAGGAACCCGACAATGGTTCTCCGGAAAGAATATTCAATTACCGTCTATCTAGAGCACGAAGGGTAGTAGAAAATGCTTTTGGCATCATGAGTTCTGTATTTAGAGTGTTAAGAAAACCAATGTTATTGGAACCAGAAATTGCTACGAAAGTGGTACTGGCTACTGTTTATTTGCATAACTTTTTATGAAAAATAAGGGCAAATATTTATACACCACCAGGAAGTTGGACTCTGAATCGATGGAAATTTCGTACAAGGGTCGTGGAGGAATGAACCATATTCGACTTCTTTTGTGCCTTTACGTGCAATTCCTCGAAGGTCTGCAAATGACGCAAAAGCAATTCGGTCACACTTGGCTACACACTTCGTTACAAATGGACAAATAACATGGCAACATAGATATTAAATATAAAATATAATTAGCACTAATCACTATCCGAATCAGAAGAAAACATTATGTACGTTTAAACACTGCGAGTTTCTGTTCAGAAATGAAAGATATAACACCAGAGCACGCCACGACACGACACCAGAGTGTGCACACTCACCGTCACGACAGTAAGCACCACGACACGCCACACGTAAATATGTTTCCACCTTTAGCCCAAAGCTTACTGACCCCAGATACTTACAGAAGGCGATGGTTCTGAATTTGTTGTGTCTCTTGCTGCAGAAGGCGACGATGTGTCGATAGACATTGAGTTTTGAGTCTCACGGGGAGAGAACTTGTCAGCCAAGAAGTACAAGTGCTCATAAGCGAACCATTTCGATATATACACCTCATTACGACCTAGAATAAAAATCATTTTTAGAGGTACACTACACACGTGATTAAATTGAGTATAAAATAAATGACAAGAAATGTACAACTAATTTTCAAAAACCAATGAATTTTTACCTGATCCCGTGACGAGACTTTTTTATGTCAAGATTTTTCCCGCCGAAAAGATCCACAAAGCGAAGTAATTTTTTTTTACTTCGGAAATGGGTAGTTTCATTTCTTTGCTTATTATTTTCCAAGAATCTTCTTTCAATTGTTTATTATAATGATGCGGTGAAGTTGGATCCCACTAATGTCGGTGGTTTTCATATAACTTAATTAATTCGATACATTTGTCATTATCCATTTTGCCGCGTGCCGAGCACACGTACGTCCGTCTCCACTAAACGCACGCCTCACACTGAGGCGTCTTTGAGCATGGCCATTTACCGACACGATTTGGCTCGCTGCGCGGCCGCTTCATTTGGTTCAAGTCGCGGCAAGCCTCGACTCGCGGCACGGTCTCCACTAGTTCTACCTCGGGTCGAGGCAGCCGACCCAGCTTTACACGTGTTTCGCCTCTACACGAGGCATCTTCAGGAGATGTAGACTCTACGGCGGCTGCGCCCATTGTGAATCGCACACAAAGGGCGCCCGAAATTTGGGATAATTTCAAGATAATTATAAGTAGAAGCCTTATTTACTCGTATTTTCAAAAATGTAATCAGTATATAATCATTTATTTATTTGAACCTAAATGTAAAATTTGGCTACTCTTTGAAAAATAACCCTGTTATATTTTAATATACTAAAAATAAACTGTGCCGTTATAATGTGAACATTAATTTAGGAGTAATACTTGCGTTTATCAATCACAACTGTTGTCCTTCGCGACTATTGCAGACTATTTAAGCAGTGTGTAGTTTGTGACACTTCTTCTAGTAACTATGAAGACCGATTTTGGGAGCGGCAGTTGTCCATACTTATTGCAGGTGTGTGACACGACGAATAGAATAGTCGATTTCATGCCGCTTCGATCTTTTTTCCGAAAGTTCGTAAAATCAGGGTCTATTTTTGGTCCTCTTTGACGCGTTCTCCTCTTATCTTGTGTTGTTAAAAATATACGTAAGACCACTCATCAGCGGCTAGAGTTGAAAAATACTTGAAATATTTTCTACCTTTTAACCTACCAATGTGCTATGTAACGGTAATGCGGTAACCTCACAAAGATAATCAAGTTTAGTTATACCAGTTTCCATTAAAGAGAAATATTCCTACAAAGACTTAATTAAAAAAAATATGTGAGGAAAGGATAGATTAATTTTCAATGACAAACGAGCTTTCCTGATGATAAGTAACTATTGCAGATCATGGACACTCGGAAACCAACTAACGAAAAATTTCACCTGTAATACAGATGCAGTGTCGGTGATGGTGGATGCATTGTTACTTTGCCTACCAATTTTCTTTTTCTTCATGAGCCTGGGCATGCATGAGCTTCTCCCTTACATGGAGGATTTGCCGTAATCGTCACACTTTACATTTAGTAAAAATACAGTCTACTACTAACATCGAAGGCGTCTGGACGGGCAATCGTGCGGTGCGGTGCGGGGCGGGGCGAGACACAGGCGGGGCGCTCCCGATATATGAAAGACGATACCCGGATACCCTTGCAATTATAACGCTGCTCTCTTTTTAAATTTGTCTAGGATGAATTATGTTAAAAGTAAATCAATTTAAGGGAATGCATAGGTAAAAAAATCTTTATTGTAAACAGTCCTAAGAAATTATTATTCTTATTTAATATCACAAACTTTTAAATGGCTCACTTAATATTAAAATATACCAAATTATAATGTTAAAAAGGTTTCAGCAGGGAAAAGCTACCGATGCACAACCGCTTCTACTGCAACTAATAACCTGAAACAAGTATTTTTTGTATATAAACAATTGCTATCATAATAAATCAATCAATACGAAAAATATTATATTTAAAAATAATATATAAATATTATTATATAAATATAGGTGCGTAGTATACAATCGCTAGTGAATCAAAGTAGTAAGCGCGAGTGAGACGCTTGCATATTTCTCTCAGTCGTCGTTAGGCATTAGTCGTCGCGTAGACACCAGGCGGCCGAGTGAGAGTAGGCGACACATCATTGCAGCCAACATTTAGAAAGAGGCGTATTCAAAAATACCTACTAGCTACAATACTTGCCTTCGTTATGCTTGCAGCTAATTGTTTTTTGAAACAGCGCCATCTACGAATGCAGATTACTGACGTTCAACCAGAATGACGTTACGATAAGTTGACTAAAACGGCTAAAAAAACAAAAAAATGAGATTGACTTCATTACCACGACCAGACGCCAACTGTTCAGTGATGTCTCAGAGATCGCAAGGGTGAAAATCGGCAGCGATCACCGAATGGTTAGAGGCACACTGAACCTAAACGTTAAGTTGGAGAGGTCTCGTCTAATGAAGTCAACGCTTCGTCCCCCTCGTGCTCTGATCCGGAATCCCGAGACTTTTCAGCTCGAGTTACGTAACCGCTTTCAGTGCCTAGAAGATTGCAATGCAGTGGACGATATGAATGACAAGCTCGTGGAAACTGTCCATGCGGTCGGAGCTAAGTTCTGCAAGACCCGCCGCAGAAGAACACAAAAACTCTCCGATCACACTCTTAATCTCATGGCTGTTAGACGGGAGATGAGGCTGCAATCGTCAACAGATTTGACAGCATACAGGCAACTGAACAGACAGATCTCCAAATGCATGCGGCGAGACTTACGCAACTTTAATACTGCTCGTATTAAAGAAGCGATCGAGCGGAACCAGGGCTCCAAAGTCTTTGCCAGAGATCTGTCTGCCAGATAGAGCCGACTGTCAAAGCTGAACACTGAGTGTGGCAGCATCGTTTCCGAGACACCTGAGATTTTGAGTGAGATTGAGAGGTTCTATGGGCAGCTGTACACATCATTGCTGGAGCCACACGCAAGTGTGAGTAACGATCCAAAAGCAAGTCTTACCCGACACTATTCCGATGATATCCCGGACGTCAGTCTGAGCGAGATTAGAATGGCTCTCCAGCACCTTAAAAACGGCAGGGCCCCAGGCGAGGATGGAATTACAGGGGAGTTTCTGAAAGCGGGTGGAACACCGGTACTTGAAGTCCTTCAGAGGCTCTTCAATTCCGTCCTCCATGGTGGCACTACTCCGGAGGATGGAGCAGAAGTGCGGTGGTCTTGTTCTTTAAGAAAGGCGAAAACGCTCTCTTGAAGAACTACAGACCGATTTCCCTTCTGAGCCGCGTCTACGTGCTGTTTTCGAGAGTCATTACGAATCGTCTCGCACGCAGACTCGACGACTTCCAGCCTCCCGAACAAGCCGGTTTCCGAAAAGGCCTCAGTACCATAGACCACATACATACCCTGCGGCAGATTGTACAGAAGACCGAAGAGTACAATCTGCCATTTTGCCTGGCGTATGTGGACTATGAGAAAGCCTTTGATTCCGTCGAAATTTGGGCGGTGCTACAGTCCCTTCAGCGGTGCCAAGTTGACTGTCGGTATATCGAAGTGCTGGAATGTTTGTACAGTAGGGCTACGATGTATCCGAGTACAGAATCAGAGCTCGAAACCTATCCAACTGCAGAGAGGTGTAAGACAGGGTGACGTTATATCCCCGAAACTCTTCACCGCTTCATTGGAAGACGTTTTCAAGCTACTGGACTGGAAAGGATACGGTATTAACATTAATGGCGAGTACATCACTCACCTTCGATTTGCCGACGATATAGTCCTTATGGCAGAATCCCTGGAGGACCTTAGCACTATGCTCAATGACCTCAATGGTGTCTCCCAACGGATAGGTCTTAAGATGAACATGGACAAAACAAAAATCATGTTTAATGTCCATGTCTCACCTATGCCGGTAGTTGTTGGGAGCACTATGCTCGAAGTTGTTGACGAGTACGTTTACCTGGGACAAATAGTCCGACTAGTTAAGTCCAACTTCGACCGAGAGGTCAATCGACGGATTCAACTCGGCTGGGCAGCGTTCGGGAAATTACGACACATCTTCTCGTCAGGTGTACCTCAATCTCTGAAAACTAAAGTGTACAATCAGTGCGTGTTGCCAGTAACTTAGTACTTACGGATCAGAGACGTGGTCCGTCACTGCTGGCCGTATGAGGACGCTCAAGGTCGCTCAGCGAGCTATGGAGAGGGCTATGCTCGGAGTTTCTCTGCGTGATAGACTCAGAAATGAGGATATCCGCAGTAAAACCAAAGTGACCGACATAGCCCAACGGATTAGTAAGCTGAAGTGGCAATGGGCCGGCCATATAGCTCGAAGAACCGATAACCGATGGGGAAGAAAGGTTCTCGAGTGGCAGCCTCGTACCGGTAGGCGTAGTGTAGGGCGACCCCCCACTAGATGGAGTGACGACCTGGTAAGACATACAGGAAGTCGATGGATGCAGGTGGCTCAGGACCGTGCTTTGTGGCATTACTTGGGGGAGGGTTCAGCAGTGGACTTGTGAAGGGCTGTAATGATGATGATGATGATGATGATGACTAAAACGGCAGAAAACGTGTAGCCTTATTACAAAACGACTAGCTAGGTCCACTTTCTCTACGACAAAATTTCTATCCACAACACAAAAGCGCTATTGAATGTTGCAGTATTAAAGACAACCCGCTGCATTTGTTCGTTTTGTAATGCATGGCACTTAAATTTAAGAATTATCAGCCGCATTGTAGAAGGCAAAAAGCTGATACATTACAAGATGTGCATTACGACTAAGCGTTTATTAATATACGTCTTATTTCGTATTTGGCTACAACATACATTCGTGCCAACCGAAACCACTACCTCCAGCCGGAACGGAAAACCTTTCGTTTCAGATTATTTTTGTGATTTCAGTCTTTCCTTCGTAATTTTACCGGCTAATTACATGTTAAATTTTATCTCGCATTATAATGAATTCGTTAACAGTTTCTAATAGGTAATAATTTTTTTGCCTATCGTATACTGAAATATCTTAGGCGTGTTTAAAAGATCGAAATCAACTTATTTACAAACTATACCGATTTATATTTTACAAAATTATCCTACATTATTGTTGTTTACAAAAAATTACCTTTTAAACGATATATCATTTTTAAAATGTCTACCGATTCTTTCTAATCATAAACTAGCACGTCTTTGTAAATTGTTTGTTAAACTTTCACTAACACTTTGTGCTTCTTCTGTATACACTAATCGTTTTAGTTCGGCCCACAAATAAAAGTCTACAGGTCAGCCACGACCTATCCACCTATCATAGAATTGGCTGTTCAAATATGCGCGCACAGATCGTTCGTAATGAGCTGGACATCCGTCGTGCTGGAAGTACATTTCTAACAGATGGCTCAGAGGAACGTTTTCCAACATTGTGTCGATGACGGAACATATCATTTACAGATACGTTACTCCTATCAATTGACCTTCAATCCATATCGGATCCATGATGTGATCGTTAATGATTGCCACCCAAACGTTAACACTAAAACGAACTTAATGATCATAGTTTTTGATTTTGTGTGTGTTTTCGAAACTCCCCCAGTGCTCATTGTGCACATTGTAAATTCCAACACGGATAAATATCGACTCGTCGCACCGTCTTAAGTTTTCACCAGACAAAATATATCACCATTTTTAGGTACTCGACATTAGAGTATTGGTACATGTTTAAGATTATCAGCGGGCGGCCAATACACACGCGGAAACAGAAACAGAAACTTTTTATTCAATATAGATTATAAATAATACTTATTGAGAGCCACTTTATTTCATTTACCACTGGTTCGCAAAAAAAACCTCTGCCCTGGGAAGAACCAACAAGAAACCCAGCGCGACTATTTTTTTGTAAAAATTTATTTGTAAAAGCGTATACATCGCCCCAATAATGAATTACTGACTCGGTGGAGTCGAGTAACTGGTACTATAGTTCATAAAAGATAGCTTGATCTCTGCGACAGCTGTCAGTAAAAATCACGCCTATGAAGTCCTGAATTTCTTAGTAGTACAGACAGTACCTGTCAATGTCATACTTTATGGGCATGCACTAATTAGGTCGGCATGTCCATAAAGTATGACATTGACAGGTACTGTCTGTACTACTAAGAAATTCAGGACTTCATAGGCGTGATTTTTACTGACAGCTGTCGCAGAGATCAAGCTATCTTTTATGAACTATACTATAAATTATAGCTTGTGTCTCCTAGTATTGACAGTATGAATATCTTTTATTTTTGCAAAACTACTTTTATTTTTATGTAGGTACGTACATTACATTTTCATAAATGTATTGAGAAGCCAGAGTAAATAGATTAATTTCCTTTTTTTTTGTCTGAGCGACTCCTTTTGGTTTTAAATTATATATTGCTCTAATGGCCTTCTTCTGTAAAACAAATATAATTTCAGTGACAGTCGCGTGTCCCCATAACAAAATACTATACGACGTTATACTATGGAAATAGCTAAAGTAAACTATTCTAGCTGTTTCAACACTAGTAAGAGTTCTAATCTTTTTTACAGCATAAGCCGCAGAATTAAGTCTGCTAGCTAGTTTTGATATATGGGGGCACCGTTGAAGCTTTGCGTCTAGTGTGATTCCAAGAAAAATGGTGGTATCAACAAGACTCAGCTCCTCCCCATTTAAATTTATATTAGTATTAACATGTTTGACATTCGGAATTACGAATTTCATACATTTAGTTTTAGTTCCATTTAAATGTAAATCCCATCCAAAACATAAATGTGAAATGAGAGCCAAGTTCAATATTATGATATATGCCTTGGTTGTTGACTTCAAAGACAAAAGAAGTGAGATCTAAATGGGTGCCAAGTTCAATGGCCAGTCCTGAAATTTATTTATAACATAAAATATCATTTCATCTTATAACTCAGGATAATATATTGTAGTCTAAGGTCTGACCTCGCTAGTTCTCATATACGAATTATCATGTTCGATGAGTAGTTTCTACCAGCAAGCCAAATTTTCGGAATAATAAAATAAGAACCGACAAGTAACGGGTTTACAACTTGCGAATGCTATAATACAATTCGTATATGAAAACTAGCCAAGTCAGACCTTAGGCTACAAAATATTCCCCCCCGAAAGGGTTCCCGCCTTGTCGTGGCGGGGGGGCTTAGAAGCCGTGGCTTGGTCACCCACGGCGAAACAAAGAGGAACCCATATGGCTGGTCCGAGGTGGAGGGCCGGCCCGAGGTGGCCACTCCGAGTGGGCTTGGGAAGCCCACTTCGGATGTGTGTTGGTGGACTGCGGTGAGAGGTGTGTCCTCCCCACCTACCGCTGCAGCCGAGGTGGAGTCGCGGAGGAAGAGGAGTGTTGGTATGGCGATGCGCCACTCGCCCTATCCTCCGCGACTCGGTTGATGCGGTGGTGATGGGGCTGCGGGGGGAGAGGATTGTCGGTATTGCGAGGCGCCGCTCTCCCTATCCTCCGCAGCCGAATCTTGGTTGGCGGCGGAGCCATAGACCAGATCCGCCGCTGGGGTCGGGAAGGCTAGTACTTCTAAGTGCTCGTTTTTCCTGGCCCCATGGCCTTCGCGCATCGGACGCGGGGGCGTCTGTTGCGCAGATGTAATTGGAGGCCGTGGAGGAAGGCGTGCCATGTGTTCTGGTGCGCCTTACTTGGGAAGGAGAATGGGGAGGAATATTCCTCTCCCGATGAGGTGCTGCCATGGGGCGGCAGTCGCTGGTGGGGCCGCGGATGTGTGCGAAAGCGTTCCCGTAGCCCTGCCAATATGCGACGAAGGTGGAACACCATGGGGTTTTAGTCGGTGCGAGTCCGACATAACCCGTCCTTGCCCCCGCGAGGCGGGTATGCGTAGGCATTTCCCCATGTTAAAAAAAAAAAGGCTACAAAATATTATCGTAAGTTATAAGAAGAAATGATATTTTATGTTGTTATAAATAAATTTCAGGACTGGCCATTGAACTTGGCACCCATTTAGATCTCACTTCTTTTGTCTTTGAAGTCAACAACCAAGGCATATATCATAATATTGAATTTCGCTCTCATTTCACATTTATGTTTTTGATGGGATATCATTATTTTTTGTACATAAATCATAAGTACCTACTTATTTATAACAAAATTAATACCAAATGGTTTTCGTTAAACTACTGTATTTTCTACGTTTACGGGGAATAATTTTCTTTTTTGTGTTATTTTCTATATTGTTTTGTACCTTTAAAATGTACGAGTGAATTGCCCATTCGGTATCCGGATTTTTTTTTCACGCATTTTCTGTTTATACTTAATTTGGCCAAGTCGGGGCGGTATAAGTGCGCAGACGGTTGTACTCTATAATAGAGCTCTCTTGTGACTTGATTTGACTTGGATCTAAATTGATAAGATGTACTCCATCTAAGGTTTTAACTCTGGAGAGTCCAACGTAAGCCTGCCCTCTACTAAATATCGAGAGTCGAGAAGAGCACTGTCAAGGCTAAGGCCTTGTGATTTGGGGATAGTAATAACATAGGCTAAGCAAATAGGGAATTGTTCCCTGTGAACATATACATTACTTAATATCTGAAACTTGGCAATCGAATGGAATTGACAGCTTCCATCGGGAGTTCGGGAGACATTGGAATAATTCGGTGTAAGGTAAGTGTGTCACCCACGCGTAATTCTATTGTACGACTCATTGTACAATATACGTAATAAAAAGATAATTATTTAAGACTATTACGTAACAAATTGCCTGTTATCTATTGAATTCTTAAGAAAAACAATTTGTTACCATACCAATAAGTTCTCATTCTCAAACTCATTCAGAGTTAAATATACATACGTACTTATAACTATTCTAAAATTATTACTAATTCTTGATTTAAACTATTGCCTATACCATCTAGACACGCGGTACGTGCTTACTAAAAGAATTGTAATAATAATATAACCACAAATATATGAGTATTTTTAAAGAAAACCTATGAATTTCGTAGCATAAATCGCAACCTCATAGGTCAAATATCGAATGACAAACGGACAGCAAGACGACGCTCGCGCTTATGAGATGACCGCGCTGCCACTCGCTCGGACACGTTTGCGTCAAGGTTTTATCGCACCGCTCCATCGCTCCCACCCCGCTGCCCCGGCGTCGCCTCAAAATTCCTATTATTTCATTATTTATAAGTAGTAAAGTTGTTCAAAACGACTATAAATCGATAACACGCTACAGACTATAAACTATAAATTTCTAGCGCGCTATTAAATACGCTATTTTATAGCGCGCTATTTATAAGAAAGCGCGTTAAGTTTAGCAGCACGCTATATCTCGGAGCACGCTACATTACATGTCGTTCATTGGATAGACCACGTGCTATACTTATAAGAACATTGTTTCGTAATAAGTCCAAACACTATTGTATATACTTTTGTATCTATATTTTATTTACATTTAGAAACATTGGTTAGGCTTCTTTTGTAGTAGACAACTGTGTTTTTCGATCACTTATACATATACAGTATACAATAACTAAACAACGTCTAACACTAAATTGGTTCGCGCGCGATGAATAGCGTGCTGCTAGATTAAATTTGCGTCTCACGTCTACTCCCAACAGCGCTACTACTGGAACTAATTGCCGTTTGATATGAATAGCGCCAAAGCGTCATAGCGCCATGGCAACTACTTACATAGCACGGGTTGTGCGCTATGGAGAGATAGCGCGCTATATTATGGCGCTATGGTCTATATTAACCACCATTAATAAGTAGGGAATGATCTTACACTATTGATGTGCGCTAAATATTGGAACAATAATTAATACTCGGTTGGTTCGAACTTTGTTTTGTTTTTTTTGTTGTGGTGGGTTGGTTTTTTCTCTTAAGTCCCAGTTAATAACGTAATAAATACGAAAATCGACTATACTTTTAGTTAAGTTATAAGTACTAAAACGGAAATATTTGGATAAAAAAAAAATTAAGGGTAGTATTCAACTCGTTATATATTTAAGACCGGCTGTCATAAGTTTTGATTGCTGGTTGCTGATTCTTACAAACATACATTATTACAGTTATAAGTATAATATAGTTGTTAATAAAGTTTAGTGTTCCTAATAGAATCAAATAAGTGAAAAATTATAATAAAATGATAAAAATTTACCAGTTTCTGATTTATTCCTTTGTATTCACCTAATTACCTATCTGCCAAATTTTCCTTTACAACGGTTATTTAGATATTAATGTCCAAAAATGACGATTTTTGGACGTTAATATCTAAATAACCGTTTGAGATGTGTTTACGAAATTTGAAGCACATATATATCTCGCAAGTCTCAATATATGAGCCAAATTTGACACGTTTATGTGAAATAGTTTTTGAGTTATGAGGGGGTCAACAGTGGCTCCAAATGGTTCGTGTAACACACGGTGCGGCTCGCCGTTCTGCTTGAACTTGGCTTGACACGCTACCGCGTGTCTAGATTATTAACATTAAACCAATTTCTACGGTCTTCGGATCTTTCTACGGTACCAGATTACAGTCCCCACGGACTGTTAGTTTAAGGAAATTGAGAGTGCACCTACGCTTGCGTACACACTCATGCACAATATTCCTGTCCTGCGCAGATGGCTAGTCTGCTTTGAGACTGGCTGCCGTGAGTAAAATTGGGTCTAAAGGACATTATTATTATTTATTTAATCCATGTAATATTACAAATTTGCCTTCGTGGAAAGATGCATATGATATAAATAGCATTCTTATGAATATATCAAATTATATTAATTTTTAATAAAATATTTACCTTTTTTGAAACAGAAAAATAAATCTAATAGTTTCAGGTAAATATTCAGACTACAATATCAAAGACCACGTACTTTTCTAATAAGATAATTCTTTGTCTTTCAATTTCCAATCTCTCCTTTTCCAATTTCAGTCTTATATTATTGCATCTCTTTTTCTCCAGCAGTTTTTGCTTCTCGACTCTAATTCTTTCCTCTTCTAAGCCTAATAGTCTGTCATGAACAAGCCCTAAAACATTGCAAACACAGATTTTTTTTATAACTTAACAATATAGAATTTAATTACACAACAACTTAGCAGACTTAAAGAAAAACAAATAGATTTATTAAATTATAATTTCTTTAATAATACAAATATCTATTCTTGCAATTTTACAATTCATTTATTAAATATGAAAAAATAAAAATAATAGTGAAACACAGGTAAATCATCAAATGACAACAAAACCAAGTATAAATTATATTTTAAATTGTAAATTACCCCACTCATTTATGTGGATAAGTATAAGTCTTTGTATTTCATTTTCATTTTACTTACTGACTGGCCGTTCTCTTTTCCACAATGGTTTTTCGGCATTTGGTGCCGATGTGACTTCATTAGATTCCACGCCAGCATCTATATTGTTACTGATTCCATCCAAACGCATTTCAATTTCTGATTGTGAAAATTGTTGCTGATCAGTGGACCACTTCTGAAATGGAATTGCTTTTAACTTTCTCTTAAATAGTTGTGCTTAGTCGAATTAACAGTAAATTCAAGATATGATTATTATATATTACAAGATATGTTCGCTCTGTTAGAGCGTGCAACTGGGCGGGGCGTTTTGCGTGCAGGTCAAATATACGCTGTCGTAATACAAAGTCCTGAATGACAGTGCTATAAATGCACCGCCACGCAATACGCTACGCTGAACACACTCTACTCAAACCTAACTCTAAGGCAGTGGATATTAGGAATAATGCAGGACTTCCATGAAGAAAGAGGAGAGTTACAATTTACCCACTCACGTATTGCTAATTACTAATTTATGTATTTATCCTTTACTGCAAACACTAAGGGTTGCAAAGGGTGGACTTAATGAGATACTATACTTTTTAAAGAAATAAAAATAAACGAGTATTTTGGTGTTCGATCCCTGATATAAACACCACTGAAATTTTGAAAGTAATTATAAATGCAGATTGTGGTAAGTCCACAAGTACTGCATAATAAAGGAAGGAAGTGCCTGGCGTCTGAGAAGTTAAATATATTTCGAGAACTTGCAAAGAACACTAACATCTTACACATTCTACGTCAGCACAGTGAATTCTTACCTACTTCCTAAAGAAATAATATTGAAAGTAATGAGTAACAACCCAAGAGGTTTAATCCAACAGTATTTCTGAGAGATCTTGAATGCAGCTTCAGCAATATTGTATGAGTAATTGAATGGATGAAATGCGTAAATACAAAAAACTTATTACATGCATAATTGAATGTTATCTATATAAGTTTCTTGTATTTACGTGAATACAAGCTTATTTTATGCATGGAATAAAACTAATTTTACAGATTGTATTGCTTTACTTTTTTAATTCCCGACGTTTCTACTTATAAAAAGTTTAAATTAGGGCTTTGGCAACATTTATTTATAAATTAAGATAAGACTATAGTAATGTAATTGATATAATAATTAAAATTCTTACGTTGCCAGATTCTTTTGTTAAAATTAAATACATTACCCTATTTTATTTCATTTTATTTAAGTCTCTACTATTAATGAAATGTATTTTTTAAAACACCTAGATCTCTTACCATACTACTCGCAGAAGGATCCACATTACCCAAATTATCATCAGCAACACTGGATTGTGCCTGTAAAAAAGCACCAAATAAAAGAATAAAGAAAAATATTTAATAAATGTCAGATATTCTTAATTTAAAAATCACCAGATTTAACATTATGATTTCTTAAATTTACGCGAACACTACACATTGAATAAAACTATTATTTACGGATTTTATCGCGTTTAATTACTTTAATTTATTTTTATCATTATCCCGACGTTTCGGGTTCAGTTTATACAAAGGTACTCTGTGGTTTCGGGTGCTTTACAGCACCCATAGAGGAAAGTAATATATGACAGCACCCATGGTCACGGGGGGGGGACTGAGATGTTTGACGTCCCAATGTCATAGTTAGTGCGGCTACCTTCAGTTTTTTTAATATTAATTTTTGGTCCGATTTACGCAAAACGAGCTTATAGTATCATGAAGTCTTGCAGTGGTATGCTTGGGTTTGGGTTTAACTTTGTTAATTATAGGATCCCAAGCAGATGGTAGCACCCAACCATCTTCTCTATTGAAATTTGGATGTTTTTTTTAATTTCAATAGCCTCGCGTATCATCCTTGGTAGGAATCGGTGTTCTTTTGCTAGAATTTGTGGTTTATCAAATCTAATGTAATGGTGAGGACGATCTTGAACATGTTCGCAGACTGCAGACTCCGGGAAGTCTGCAGTCTGATTGATGATGCTATTGAAATTAAAAAACATCCAAATTTCAATAGAGAAGATACCATCTGCTTGGGATCCTATAATTAACAAAATTAAACCCAAACCCAAGCATACCACTGCAAGACTTCATGATACTATAAGCTCGTTTTGCGTAAATCGGACCAAAAATTAATATTAAAAAAAACTGAAGGTAGCCGGACTAACTATGACATTGGGACGTCAAACATTTCAGTCCCCCCCCGTGACTATGGGTGCTGTAAAGCACCCGAAACGTCGGGATAATAATAAAAATAAATTGAAGTAATTAAACGCGATAAAATCCGTAAATAATAGTTTTATTCAAGATTTAACATTTGCAAATACTTTGGCAACTTTCAACCTTACCTCCCTTCCCTTTTTAGAAGTAACACCACTAAAAGTGACACTTTATAAAAAAGCTAGTAGTCCACTCATCTCATCTATGCAACACATCCTTTGAATGCAGGATGTAGGGCACAGTTAACAAATGCATTGTCACACTACGGATTAAGAAATCTACTTAGAGGGACAGTTGGGTAAAGAGGAGCCAAACATAAAGTCACGTAGAAGTATAATATTACTTGTTTTAAATGTTCCGATAATGGTTTCTTAAATTTACGCGAATACTACACATTGAATAAAACTATATATACGGATTCTATCGCGTTTAATTTACTTATTTTAACTTATTTTTAATTCCCGACTTTCGGTTGCTTTACAGCACCCATGGTATGAGCGGGACTGAGATGCTTAATGTCCCAATGTCATAGTTAGCCCGACTACATTCAACTTTTTAATATTAATTTTCGGTATGATCTACACAGAACGAACTTACAGTATCTTGAAGTCTTGCAGTGTTATGATTGTCATCTTGCAAGTGGTATGCTATCTTGAACATTTTTACAGACTCCAGGAAGTCTACAGTCTGTGAACATGTTCACAATGTGCAAAAATCCTCGCAAAAGAACACCGATCCTACCAAGGATGATACGGGAGGGTATTGAAATTAAAAAACATCCTAATTTCAATAGAGAAGATGCATGGGTGCTGCCATCAGCTTGGGATCCTATAATTAACAACATTAAACCCAAACCCAAGCATACCACTGCAAGACTTCAAAATATTGTAAGCTCGTTCTGCGGAGATCAGACCGAAAAGTAATATTAAAAAACTGAAGGTGGCTGGCTGGACTAACTATGACATTAGGAGTCAAACATCTCAGTCCCCCCCTCATGGCTGCTGTGGAAAATCGGATTTGTTAATCGGATGAATCCGTACATATAGTTTTATTCAATGTTAAGCGCCTATACAACCTCAAATGGCTTAACAAGATCCTCCGTTATGCCGAAAATACTGCAGCATTAATTTTGAAATAAATATACGGTAAAGTTGAGGATTAATGTTAAGTACTATGTTAGAATGAAGAGCCGTGGTAGCTCAGATAGTTAGCACTCGCTGTAAATTTCACTGTACGCGAGCAAACCGGGTTCGATCCCCGCCGGCACCAATGAAATTGTTAATTGTAATTTTAAGTGCTGATTTACCACATGCTCGGTGGTGAAGGAAAACATCGTGAGGAAACCTGCATGTCAGAGAAATAAGAAAAAAAAATTATTTCGAAGACATGTGAAGTTCGCCAACACGCAGCTTGGGGCAGCGCGGCGGACAATTCCTTGCCCTAAAATCATCTCAGAAATGAGCGGAGGCCTGTGCCAAGCAGTGGGACGTATATAGACTGTAACTTTACTTTTACTATGTTAGACGAAAACACGATTCCGTAAAATTTTCTCGATAGAAAAAAAATCCAAAGTTACCTCCAAACCGAGCAATAAACCGCTGGTATTCACAAAATACTTTTAATTTGATCATGAAACTTTGCATACTAAATGAACTAACTATAAAGCAGAGCTTATGTTTTTCATTTTTTTAATTATCATTATTAAAAAGAAATTACCTAAGCTATCGGCGACCTGAAGTTTTTTTCCTGCCGCCCGATACTCCCACTCAGTCTCGCTTCGGCTTTCGACGTTACAGTGATACAGGATTACGTAACAGGACGACGTAAAACTAAAATTGGAAATAACCATAACAAAAATAAGAAGCGACTGAGTTGGCGTAAAGAAACAGGCATAAATATGATAAACCTAATAAAATAAGTATCTAACAACCTATCTACTTACAATATTAGTGATTACAAACATGTCGTTAGATAGCATACGACGCGCGAGGAAGTGGGGGCGAAATTAGAATTTGAGCTGAGGTAGTATAGTCCGTTAAATGTTCCGAGGAAAAATTAGTGAAAATTTACACCACTCTGTGGCCATCAATTCATCTCTCAGGTTACTATTTAACAGCAACTATTTAACTTATTATTTGTGTCATTTTGCAAAACATAAAGTTACAGATTACATACAAACATTAGATTGCCTAAGGTGGATTTTTGCCATAGTTGCCATGCTTGGCACTGTACATAGTCCCCGTCCCCATTTCTGAGAGATTTATGGAGCAATTAATCTATTGTGCTGCTCCAGTGCATGTTGGCGGACTTCACATGTCCTTAAAATATTTTATTCCTTAGTTACACAGCTAACTGTAAATTTCCTCTTTGTAATGCAAATAAACAATTTTTATTTTTATTTATTTTCTAGACATGCAATTTTTCCCATAAGATGTGATGATACTTCACCGCAGAGAATTAGGTAAACCTGCACTTAAAATTGCAATTAACAATTTCATTGGTGCCCAAAGTGATTGAATCCAAATTGCTTGCTAAGCATCTTGGCTCACATTACTTATAAAACATTAAACTATTGAAAATACTTGTTAGTTACCTAATTGCTAATTACATGCAAAATAAACAATGGCTCAGCTTTAGAAACAACAACCCCAAAAATTAGATTTATATTCCTATGGTAGAATGGGTTAGTAAAGATTTATCAAGTACTAAAATATCATAGGGCAGAAATTCATAGTTTTTAAGATTCAATTTTTTGAATACACATGTAAAAATTTGATACAAATGTTAAATGATAAACTATTCATTTCTTGATTCTTAGTATGATGTTAAACAAATAATACAATTACAAAACAGTGAAAATCAATGTATTTACGATGTACAAAGCCACCTACCAATAATATTTGTTACTGTGGTCCTTTCGCATAACAATGAGTTTTAATCATCCAAACACTACGGTAATATATATAGCGACATGTCATTGAAACGACGTCAAGTAAAAAAAGTTATTACTGGTTATTATTTAACATTTTGCTTTGTTTGAAAAATTCAAATTTAAATTAGTCATAAAAAAACTATACACGTCGCAATGAAATATAGATAACTTCATAATTTTTCGAATTTACGTAAAAGGTTATTTTAAATCGTGTGAGTACGCTTGTGCAAAGTTATTACTTCTACTTTTTCTTCGTTACTATTTCTTCTTTCTTCACAAAAGTAAATTATAATAAATAATTAGTCAAATACAGTTAACTTAGCTCTCCATCAATTACAATACATACCAATGATAATCGTTAATAGCAGTGTTCCCTTTCAGGCTTACTTCAAGTACTAATTTCTAATTTTATAGCTAGTTGTGGGGTAAATTTTTCCTCACACTTGTAACCCTAAATATAGTGACGTTTTTTTTTTGTCTCTTTCTGCAACACGCTATGGCGGTGTCTATAGGTTTCTCTGTCTACGGAGTCAGCGAATGGGTGCGTTTGGCAGAAAAAAGCGCTAGCAAGCGCTTATAAGCGCTAGCAAGCGCTTATAAGCGCTGCAAATTAAGTAGTTTTTCGGCCAGGACACGATTGCTACTTCGGTAGCGCTGACACAATCCGCCATTTTGCTTATTTAATTATGTTTGTTTTGAAGTAGCAGTTTAAAAGTTGTTTTGTGCAATATTAGTTTTAAGTAATATAATGACATGAATAGACATATAGATGTTATTAAAAATTCATGATTGGTAAGTTTTTAATATGAATACTTTACAAACATATATTTAAATTAGGGTTAGGTCCCCCGGATAAAACTAACATTCGTGTCCTGGAGGAAAATAGCTACTTACGATTTGACAGCGCTTACCGCTTTTTCTGCAAACGATCGCCATTTTACTTACAAGCGCTTGCTAGCGCTTTTTTCTGCCAAACGCACCCATTGAATTCAGTTGCTTAAATGATGACATTAATGACAGTGACAGGCAATATTTTAAGTTTGACAAGAGATACGTGTTATGTGTTGTTCCTTGTCATTTAGTTCTCGTCATAGAGGAAAGTAATATATCGTACTTCCTGTTCAAACTAAGTGATGAAACTAAGTTCTAAATATAATCATATTTAATATTATTTGTAACGAAATTATAGAATTAAGAAAAGAGCGTGAAATTTTTTAAATAATATAACAAAATTAATTAAATAACCATTTTTGTTTAGTTTTTTAGGGATAAATAAAATCTTTTTACATGTAATTATTGTATATTATTTTTAAACAAATCGTTGATAAATGCTGCCCGATCAGAATTTCCTCTAACGGAGTTATTTACTAATTGTGTGACTGATATATTTTCATCATCTTATACTATATCCTCAAGCAGATCTTGCTTTTGCATTGCAATGTATATAGTTTTGTATGCTCTTATTTAGTATTTAGTAAACGCTCGCAGTAAACACCGAAACCTTTGCTTCCCGACAAAGCATTGTTCTACAGTGTTACGGGCCCAGATGTGCGACCGGTTGTACATTTTTTCCTTTTGTTTATTAGGATGCAAGATAGGAGTACAAGCATAACCAGAATCTCCGAGAAGTCTGCCTTTAAATTCTGACTGCTCAAACATTTGTTTTAATGCGACTCATTAAATATTCTTGAGTCATATGTGCTGCCTTGCCAAAGTGCCACTGTATCCATGAACTCTAGCATTTGACACAACCTGGAACAAAGCACCTATAATTTCTTTAATATGAAATAATAGATTGAGGTGATTGTATTGAATCTAAGAAAATAACTAAGTACCTATATGGCAAAGATGGGCTAGCTAGGTGCTATAAAACTTACTTGTACATTTATTGAACTGTAGCCTTTCCTAGTTATGTAGTATTGTGTGATATTTCCAGTGACTTTCGGGATCAGAATATGTAGCAATCAATAGCCCCAATCACTTGTCTAAATCCACATAATCAATAAAAACCTGCAATCACTTTGTTCTGCTCCACATCACTTCTTGGCATTTTAATCCATTATGCTGTTTTTGTTACACAGCTTACAACTTATGAATTTGACAACGTAAAGTCTTACAAAATGTCAAAATATGCCACTAGTCTAAGCTTACTCAGTCGTTAAACTAGGTACCGCTAAGGATTAACTTCTATTCTGAGTAGATTCAGATTAGTTTACTCCTTGATTACTCTATGTTTATTAATACTGAAATTAGATATTTTAAGCTTCAAACTAGGAGTACACTTAATCTTGCTCAAGTCTGTGTTAATTAATAGGGCTGTATTACTCTTAGCGGAGAATAGTGACCCAGTTTCAGTTTATACAAAGGTACTCTGTGTAGTGACCCACTCATTAAATTGAGAACTCTTATTTTAACTATTATTATCTTGTCACTTCCATGACTGACTTGACACTGGCAGAATTCTACCAAGAGAAGCCATAATTTAAAAGAAGAAGAATAAGACTATAGTGAATAATAATTTATTTTCAAAATAATATAAATTACAAGTTGTCATATAAAATATGCATTTTATCCGCAACAAGCTTCGTCAAAACAAAAATAATAATGAATACTTTACTTAAGATTCAGTTGCTGAGAGGTAGTACATACGAAGAAAAAATTGCCCGACCACATTTGAAAGAAGTATCGAATTGCATTAATTTACCAGATGCTTATTTATTAAAAGCTTGTGGTGTGAATAGATTTTTGTTTCACAAGCTTTTGAGAATTTTAGAACCTGTTGTACCCAAAACGCAGCGATCAAATGGTATTCCATTTACGTTAAAGGTAACAAGTTACATTAAAACTGGGGATTATGTTTGTCCTTCTCGAATCCTGTTTATTTTAACATTTTCTATAGGTATTGCTCACATTATCCTTTTTAAACAGTGGTTCACATCAGAAGTCAATTGGTAAAGATTTTGGTCTTATATTTCTCAAAAATCTGTGAGCAGAATTATAAAATATGTTGTTGAAGGGCTTAATATGGTCTTGAATAACTGGATTTGTTTCCCAAGTTCCGTTATGCTTCGAGAAGAAATCAAAGAGGGGTAAGATTTGAATAAATTAAAATAATAAAGTATTAACCCTTTAATGCATGATTTTTTTACTAGTTTTAAAAAAAATATAGGCAGATGGAAAAATGTACAAATATTAAGGGAAAAATAAAGAAAAAAATCTTATTATTAAAAATCATATATATATTTAAAAAAAAACATGTGATGTAGATATACATCATTATGCAATTACTAGTAGCTTTTTATTACTAGTATGCGAGTTATTAATGAAAATCTCTAAAACAGTTATTGCGTGCGTTCAGACACAGAGGTACGTTACACTTTGAACATGCCCACTGCGTAGTACCTTTGCACTGTGGAATTTTGCACCGTAATCTATTTGAAAAGGTAGGCCAGTGTTCGACTCCATCGGTTCGTATATCCTTGCAGGGGTCTGGATGACCCGGACCCTTTGGCTTCTTGGCATGTTCGCGCTCCAAGTCCACATTAGAGGGACGCCCTTTTTTAGCACCATTTGAAGTTCCCACGTTACAAAGTGCATCGGCCAAGATGTTACGAAACTCTCCAAGATTTGGAAGCTGTTTCTCAGGAATACCCTTTGCTGTGCAATTTTTTTTCAAAAGAACCCACGAATTTATAACGGCGAGGTCTAAAAGATGGTAAAAGAGGCGCATGTACCATTTTCGGCTCTTTATGCGTATGCGATAGCGTCCCAGGTAGCTGTCCATCAAGTCCACTCCCCCCATGTGCATGTTATATTCTTCGACTATCTTTGGACGGGGTATATCTATATTTTGTTTACTCTTCTTATCGTACCGACCGACTGTTGTAGCAGGTTCAGCACCTACATATGTAGATAAAAGCGTGACAACTTTGTTGTCTTCCATTCAGTTGCTGAAAAGTCGACACCATCGTAGTGAGTAATTTTTTCTTGATATGTATCTCTAGAAACATTCGCCTTCATGTATTCCTTTTTGTCAGGGAGTCGACAATTTGGGAGCCTATTTTGCTGTACAGTTCCAAGGATGTGAATGCCTTGTTTAGCCAAATGAAACATCAAAGGCAACGAGGTATAAAAATTGTCAAAAAATATGATGTGATTGACCATCCTTGGAACAACTCTAGCCAATCGCAGTACAACGTTGCTTGTTACGTCTAAATCTGGTTCGTCTGCTTGGCGGTCTCTTTTGTCTTCTTGGCCAGAATATACTTCAAAACGATATGCATAGCCCATGAGATTACGTAAAACAAATAGTTTGTAACCCCACTTCTGGGGTTTATTTGGCATATACTGTTTTAAAAAGTGGGAAATTTTCGTAGAGCACATTTGCTCATCGATGGAAAGGCGCTGGTCTATGGCTATTGAAGAAAAAGTTTTATTCAGCTGGTCTATTACAGGTCTAATCTTATGTAAGCGGTCATGGTCTGGATGCTCCTTTGGAAGATGTTTGTTATTGTCATTGAAGTGTAAGTGTTTTCTAATAGCCTCAAAACGGTTAACTGGCATAACTTTCCTAACAGGGTTGTAACCAAACTTCTCATTCCAATAGGAGCGGACACTGGGAAAATGTTCAACAGACATAAATAATAAGATACCTAGATATTTTTTTAGTTCGGCGTCACTTATTGAAAATGATTTTGTAGGATTTTGTTGCGTGGCATACAAATTTGTTTCATTTACTATTTTTTTAATGAATTCTGGCGTGAAATAATGTAGGAAGCATCTGTATGGTGTATCGAGGTCAGCTATCTCAGGGTCTGTAACACTAGCTTTATGTGTAAGATTAGATTCGTCAAAAACTAAACTGTCTGTTTTCCAAATAAGTTTTCTTTTGTCGAAACAAGAATTCAATAAATTTTGATTTCCTTGCCTAGGTTCAGGCTCGTGCACAGGATCTGCCTTTTCATCCTGAACAAGTGGAGGATCGTTATCATCATCAGGAGTATCGACGTTCTCTTCTTCTAAATCGTGGATAATTTCTCGAACATTGTTATAAAAACGTTCCTCATCATCATCCTCGTCTTCCAGGCCATCATCGGAAATATCACCACTTTCCAAAGCATATATAAATATATGCTTTGGAAAGTAATATATCTCCATCTCGAAGTGACATTCTGTAATATTGAATTGCAAAGTTATAACATAAGTATCGCCAATAGTTTAATTTATACAATGAAAGTAAACTAAACCATACAACTAAAATTTGCTAAGATGTGCTTGCACTGACCTCTATATATACAAGTACGCTGGACTGGCTATACAATAGAAAATGACTGTGCCAATTTGAAGCGCCGCTAAAGGATGTCTTGAAAAATAAAATTGACATAATATGTCAAAGTCTGTTGTCTCATTTATATTGTCTTATTTAATAAGTCCGTATTTTGAACTTTTAAACTAAAAAACGAAAGTATTTTATTTACTTTGATTGTGTATAATATTAGTTACATAATAAGAATTATTTCTATTAATAATAAGAGTGTGCGTAATCTGTAAAACTCGTAACCAAAAGAGAAGTGGTATAACATTTCACAAGTAAGTGAATTTGCAGCAAATATTAAACAAATTAAAATTATTTGATAATATAAGTATACTTAAATATTTTCCTTTATTTACTAATCTTAATATCATATACCAACATCTTTGGCTATATATTACTGAGTTTTGATAAATAATAAAATTCAATAGGGTTGTCGAGTACCTTGTCTATAATACTTATCGATGTTCTTTCCTACCCATATCTGTTAACAAACAAAGTCGCCAACAACAGACGATTATTAAATGTTTATTAATTAACATGTTTCTAACTGAACCTGGACTAAAATTATGGCTTAAAATCATAAATATTGTGAATTGGCGTCCGAAACAAAATGATCATATTTGTTCCAAACGTTTCACAGACGACTGTTTTAATAGACATGAGAACTGCACCACTTTGTAAAAGTGCAGTATACCGACAATATTTTTGGTAGTACCAGTACCAGTAAGTGTAAAAGTATTAGATTATTATTTCGAATGTTTTTTTTAGTTCTTCTTTCCTTAATTTCCACCAAACTCAACGGCCATAGCCAAGTGTCGAAAGGTCGCCTGATGATTTCGAGCCACGTTGTATGTATTTTAGTGGGCTGCGGCTAGAGGAGATTCCTCTCCCTGTACCGCTGTAATCGAGGTGGAGTCGCAAGGGAAGAGGAGTATTGGTATGGCGATTGGCGAAGCGCCACAGGACCGTGCTTTGTGGCATTTCTTGGGGGAGGCCTATGTTCATTAGTGGACTTATGAAGGGTTTTAATGATGATGAATGATAATGGCATTATTTTAATATGATACATAAATAGAATGGACGTTACGGCTAGAGTCCATCTATCCATAGAGTCCATTCTATTTATTTAGATATGGTAGGGTATAGAATTTTTATCGATATAATTTGGTACACTGTCTTATCCCTATTATTAGTTCCGTGGACGTGCACTTCTGCTGTCAGCGCCAAAATGGCAGAAATCAAATCACTTCATCATGTCACGGTGTATAGCCAGTCCAGCGTACTTGTATAAATAGAGGTCAGTGTGTGCTTGTAATCACCTCTAGATCGCACAAAATGAGAAAAAATAAAAGATTATAAAATCTATAAATTCACACATGATAACCGAAAGAGTAGTGGTTAAAAGAGACCGATTTTGCATGATGATGTATTTCTACATCACTGTTTTAAATACAATTTTTCGTAAAATTATTGCAGTTTCGACCAAACTATGATTATATTTTAGTTAGTTTAGTTCTTTGTAGAAATCAATTTTTTATATAATTTCTTTTATATTTATTCTCAAAACACGAATTTCAAAAAACTTGTGAAAACGAAGTGATGCAAAAGGCGGGAACAGTGAAAAACAAATGAAATAAACAAAATATAAATTGCAAAACTTTTAATGAGTTTCGTTTATGAAGTCATCTGATAATACATTATGATAAAAATTGCTGTGTATAAATGTGTTGAAGAATAATATTTTTGTTAGGTTTAACATAAACCAGAGAAACATGTAAACAATAGTGTAGTATCTAGTCATCGCTATGCATTAAAGGGTTAAGTGTTATTATCATGTTCTACATTAATGATATTTATTCATATTTGTATAAAAGTAAATCACTGAAACTATTGATGTATTAATGGTACAATTTACATGAACATGTTGTTTTCCAATGACGATACCAATTGCTTTATTATGAAAAATTGTCATTATTCTTCATTGTTTCCATTTCAAAAATAATTTAGCTCACTGTTAATAAATTTCCATCAAGAAAACTAATTAATTATATAATCATTTGAATTACAGAGATATGTGTAGTAAGTACGTCAAGGGAATTTACAATAAATTTTCTAATTTTACTCCTTTTAGTATGTTATACTTTCCCATACTTTATATTGGCTGAATATCGAAAGTCAGATCACATTCAGGCAGTGTAATTATCACTAACATCATTACAGTGGCAGATTAGATACGTCAAAATCAATGTTATGTGTATTAGTATTGTGCCTATAATTTGAACTTATTATTGCAATATAATAGCATCACATAGCTAGTTTTTTTTCTCAATCTTAGAAGCTTTTTGGATATCCCTATCGGATTATGAGAGTGAGATACGGATTATGTGCTTGCATATGCACTTGGGCACTATAATCCTGTCCTGCGCCGATGGCTAGCCTCCGTTTAAGCAGGCCGCCGTGGCCGAAATTTGGTCTGGAAGACATTTATTATAGTTGTAGCACGAATGGGTCAGCTCAACCAGGGAAGGACCACGCTCTCACAGAATACCACCGTAAAATAGTAGCTTAATGCTGCTGTGTTTCGTATAGTGAGTCTACAGAACCGGAGACCCTTTTTACTGGAAACAAGGCATTCCAACTTAGTCCTCATGGGTGACAACGCATCTGCATTTTGATTTGTAATAGAGGATAGATGTAGATGTCTATGGGCCGCAGCAACTATTTACCTATCAGGTAGACTGTGTGCTAGTTTGTCACCCTATCCTATAAAACCTTAACTAAACTAACTAAACCTTGACAATGGTAATACTGTTTTCTAAATTATATTAATATCATAATAATTAATAAAATATTCCTTCAACAGGTAATTTTAAATATCCTCAAAGAGCATGGCTGATGACACCAATCTTACATGCAACTCAAGGTACACCAGAATCTCAATACAACCATTTTCATAGTCGCACTAGGACTTGTATTGAAAAATGTATAAGCAGGTTGAAGGGACAATGGCAATGTCTCCATAAAAAACCACTCCATTATACTCCTCCAAGAGCTGCAAAAATTATAAATGCTTGTGCTGTACTTCATAATCTTTGCATAAAAGCTGGTGTTCCAGAACCCCAACACCATACATAGAAAAGGAGGTGGTACTAGTTATTAGTGAAATGACAGAAATATTAGAATCTAATGATAATATTAATGATTTATACATAGGCCTAGAAAGAAGTAAAGAGACAACTTGCAGAAAGAATTTACTATAGTGTGTAACAATGGGAATCAAAAAAATATATTTGGATCTCCAACAGGTATACAAATGAATGAATGCTTAAATCCTATATAAATTTCATCTAATTACAATAAAGCTGAAGTAATTGTGTTTAAGCTCGTGAATGGTTTTGATGTACAAAGGGTATGCAATGCGTGCTGAGCACAACTAGTAAGAAATAAATCTGCATTATCGAAATTCAATATTTTATTCACATAATTTCTATTTCATAAAGTAATCACACATCAATGCATCAAAATTTGCATCTGAGCTAACTGGCTGTAAGTATCTCCTGGCATTCTGTAAGCAATGTTGCCAGCAAAAGTATTAAGAACTTCTGCCTGTTCTCGCAGCCATTCCACATGCTGAAAAAATAATAATACTTCATAAATTAACAATGTAAAATGCAGCGTCAAAGTTCTAGTTGCAATCTTGCCATTCAAAGAATAGGATTGAAAGTGTCGTCGCCTCTATTCAGCTCTCTCTCGCACACTGCTGCTATCTATATACCCGCCGGTAAAAATTACAAAAAAACTTCATTGCTATAGGGTCACCCAAGGCAAGTGTGACATTGGAGCAAGTGTAACAAATGCAAATTATGCGGCCTAAACACGGTTTTTGGTTTAATTGCATCTATTAAACAACACAGGAAATTTAACGCTACGCTTGACGACTAAACTGACAGTTAAGTACATAGTTAGAACTATTTTATCAACAGACGTTATTTTTAAAAACTACTGAACTGGCGACAGACAGCGCAATTTTAAGAGCTGAAGTTATTAAGTGTTTCGATATGTCGTGAAGTTATTTTAAACCAGATACAAGATGAGTGATAATGAATAATATTGGTACTTATGGAGTAATGTCTATGCGACCTGAAATTCACTATTCTTTGAAATATGGTTACAGTTACACTTACCTCACCTAATACCTTACATCGGGGTAACTGTGACAGTGTCACGTTTAAGATTATATTATTATAAATTGTTAACATTCCGAATTAAATTTTATTTTGCACTTGGCATTGTTTTTATTATACTTACAAAACGTCCAGAGCTAGTGTAGTAAATCTATTTAAAGGCACACCACTATATAGGTTAAAAACAGTCACAGCTGCCCCATGTTGGAGAAAATTGATTGTTGCACAAAAATGGATGTTCAAATTGTTTACATAGATCATAAAATAATATATCGACGTAAGTATCATCTCATCAATTTTGTTGAAAACCACAGATAATAATAAAGTAACTACAAAAAGAAGCATACTGTCACCTTGCCTCATTGATGGGTAAGTGTGACAGTCTTCCACCTCAATTACTTTTAATTACCTCAAATTACAAATTACTACTTGTAGGTGGTACTAAGATGCTTGATCAAACATACAACCACTGAATAATTGATGTTATGAAACTGAATTCTCTGTATTAAATCCTTACAGAGTAGAAGTATTTAAATATCGATTATAGTTTTAATTAATTTATGTCACACTTGCCCTAGATGACCTTATGTGTTTTCGTACGATTTTCAACTTCAGTTCAACTTGACATTGGAATCAATGATAAAATGCCATGAATCACA